TCTGGCTCTGGTGAATTCTCTCATCCCCCCACGCTTCTGACTGTACCCAGTGCTGGAGAGAAAGAGAGAGAAAGAAAGAAAGAAAGAAGGAAGGAAAGAAGGAAAGAAATTTAAAAAAAAAAAAAAGACCCCCTGAAAGGATTTGTCTCTGACCTTCCAGGAGTATTGAGGCCCCTCTCTATCCAGCCTGTACAGAGGATCATAGTCAAAGGTCCTTCTGTAGGATTGAACTGTGAGCAGCTGGTCGTGATGAAGGGAAGTGAAGACAAAGGCTAATTCTTTCTGCAAGGGAGAGGACAACCAGAAGGCAATGGCCATAAGTAAAAAGGACTCTTCTTTATTCGTCTCCACAATTTTTGGCTTTGTTCGTAGCCTACTCAAGAAGAAAACACAGCCCTCTCTTGTAGACCTTCTACTAGTCCTCAGATGCATTCACGTAAGAACACCCTCTAAAGTCCTGAAGTATCACTCCTCTTCCTGCAGGAGTGATAAACCTTCACGATTGATCAGGGAACAAGCTTACTTGCAAAGAATGTTCATGACCTTAATTCCAGACAGGATTAAATATTTTCATGAATTGGTGAAACGAACTATGCTAATCTGAGAAACTGCTAACTGGGGAGTTAATAGAAATAAACCAAGTGATCAAGAAAGCAATATTCTATTACCAGTTAATATTCAAACCCAGGAAAAATGATATATTATCACTATAATTCAAAGTAGAAGCAACAAGGGAATCTTTTGGGGATATCCTCAAGTACTGATTGCTTCTGCTCCATTCACCGGATGAAGGAATGTCGAAGGAAGGATTCAACACCTTCCGCTGCCTTACCAACTGTCAGACTCCAACTGATTTTTCTCCTTTGCAATCCGCCATAAAAACTGCAGGCGCCAATACTTGATCTCCAGCAGAAACAATGTGGTAACTGCCTAACCTTTGGGGGAGACTTGAACCAGGGCCTGGGCTTGGGCACTGGGAGATGGAGATTACACAAGAACCCGGGGACCCAAAGGGCTGCGGGAGAGCTTTTTGAATGACCCCTCAAAGCCCTAGGCCAGGTGAGGAATCTGTGTGTACGGGCAGCACGTCTCAGCTCTGCGAGTTTGGAACCGCGCTCACCGCCCTGCAGGCCGCGCTACGCTGTGGACTACATTTCCCAGAAGGCTCCGCTCCCGGGCGGCTGTACTTTGAATCAGGGCGTGTCTGGGTAGAGCCGAGGCGGGAGAGCATCGTTGGGATCCGCTCCTCCCCCCGCGGCTGCGTTGCTGCAGCCGCTGCCCAGCAAGATGATCGGGGTCCTTTTTCTGCTCCTCCTCCTTCCCTTGCTCCTGTACATCGCTGCACCCCAAATCAGGTCTGTGCGGGGCAACATTAATCTTTGCGGAAGCTCTTAAGAAAAAGGATAATTCCTTGGGTGGATGGGGGCGGGGGGCTGCTAATAGGGGGTGTCGGGAGTTGGGTTGGCGTGAGGAGGTCCAACTGCCCTGCATGCAAAGCAGGGGCTCCCAGGCGGTAGCAAAGGGCTGCAGTCCGGGGTGCCTTGCCTTATTTCTCCTGGCCCTTGTTTTTGTTTAAGCAGCCGTTGCCTCCAGAGAACCCCGAATGCAAGGCTACCTGAAACACTTGACTTTTACAGCTTTAGGGGTTTTTCAGGGTAGGCGCCCTAAAATGTGGTGTGTTCCTCAAGACTGTTTCTTCTTAACTCCCGTACCTTGAACCTGCCCTATCTAGCTTCTTGCTTCCAGCCTTTTAAACACTGTGGGGCGATTCAACTTTTTGCTTTCTGAAAATGCCTCTCGATGGGGATCGTGACTCAGGAAGCTCCCTTGCTTGCTCCCTTGTGCTGTTAAATTCACGCTTTCTCTGGAAAGCGTGAATTTAACCTTTGGGTTAAACCTGACCTTTGGGTCAGGAGGAGCTGAGTTGCTGAGGCGGACGCCTCAGGGAGGGAGTGGACCGGTGAGTATGAGGACTATGATCTAAGGACCGGGTGACGTTTCAAACATTGGCTGGCTGAACGCCCCGCAGGTCGGCCCCGCGCTGCACAGCCGGCCGCCGGGTGATTGGTTCTGAGCAAGTCACCAGCGGTGACGGTGGCTGAGAGACAGAAGAGCCGCTCCTTCCCCTCCTGCCTCTCGTGGGCCTCTTCCAATAGTATTTTCTCTCCTCTCTGAACTAGTGCTTCTCAGGCGAGGCACACGTGGGTGACCATCTCAGATGAAAAGGCTGCTTTTTTGTCCTTTTCCATCAGAGCATCTACTCATCGACATAGAATCTCGATGAAAAGTTGAACCTGAACTGAAAATAGTGCTCCTACCTCTGCGAGTTTTGTTTGATTATACTCCAAGGGCTATCTAGGTAGTTTATGGAAGCAAGAGCTGAACTTTCATAGTTGATTGTCTCCCATTCCTACTGGTTAAGAAGAAGAAAGAACTCAGTAGACACCCTGATAGGATACTCCTGGAGCTCAAGGTGAACAGAAGCTTAGTCCCTGGGGAGGAAGGTACCAGTTGGTAGGCACCAAGAGCTATTTGTTTCCTCACTAGCCTATTTGCATTTAAGCAGATAGCTTTAGTGGTAAGGAGTGTGTATGTAATTCCAAATTAAATAAAAAAAGGCTGAAATGCTCTTTAAAAGTGCATCTTCTGGGCCTCCGTGGTGGCTTAGGGTTTAAGTCTCAGCACTATCACTGCCATGGCCTGAGTTTGATACCCTGCCAGGGAGCTAACCCACATATGGTGCAACAGACCTCTCCTGTCTCACCCACTGCTTCCCTTAGCAGTGCACTTCAATAAATCCACCTGTTCTGCACTCTGCTTTATCTCTGGTGAATCCTTTCACCCACTCCCTCCCCGCCACACACCTCTGGCCTATAACCCAATTCTTCTACACAATAAAGTTCTTCTATACAATAAAGTACATTACAAGTGCATCTCCTAGCCAATAAATTCTCATAACTTGAGTCTCAAGATTTGCGGAAAAGAGTGACCTCCCTGGTGGTGCAAGGGTTAAGCACTGCCCTATGAAGCAATCTGCAGCCTCTGCAGCACGAGTTCAATCCCTGGCCAGCCAGGGAGCAACCCACATGGCACAGCAGACCTCTCCTGTCTTGCCCGCTGCTCCCCTCAGCAGTGCACTTTGATCAATCTGCCTGTTCTGTTCCCCACTCTGTCTCTGGTGAATCTTCTCACCCCCCATATCTCTGGCCTGTACCCAGCTCTTGTATGAATGAATAAATAAATCTTTAAAAAGAAAAAAGATTTGCTGAAAAGGAAAAAGAGCAATCTGAAACATGCTAATCCTTGTTTGTGCATTCAATCCTTGGGAAAACTGAATAGCAGTGTCTAATGGGTTAAAGAAAGACTTGAATCCCAGTTCCCCTTGTACTCATTTATATTTTTATTTTATTTTTGATTGGGGGGGTTCTGTTTATTTTGTCCCAGATTGACAAACTTTCATAATTTTAATATTTCATGCTGAATTATCTGTTTATCAAGGCCACAATGTGTCAGTTGTGGACAGATTGACGTAAGTAGATTGGTTCTGCTAGGCTGAGTCTTGTGATTTCATAAGCCTGTGGAAGAAGTCTCCTGTGGAGAGGTCAAACTGTAGCCAGGTTTCTGGCTAATCAAATATTTATCTAGTTTTTGTACTGCAGGAGGCAGCTCTAAAAGTTGTCATTGAGCAAAAGCAGAAAACTTATTTTCTTTGCCCCTACCTTCTTTAAACCTATAAAAGTACAGCAGAAGGAAAGAAAGCAAATCTCAGCCTTTGGGATATAAAGACATGGGTAGTTGCAGAAATCCTAGGTTGAGATAAAGAGAATGAAGAACTGATAAGCTCTCTCCTCTGTTTGCAGGAAAATGCTGTACAGTGGGGTGTGTACATCAACCGTCCAACTTCCTGGGAAGGTAGCTGTAATCACTGGAGCGAACACAGGCATTGGCAAGGAGACAGCCAAAGAGCTGGCTAAAAGAGGCACGTTCATCTGCTGTTAATTCTCCTTGCTACTGCCATTTTATCCCTCACATTGACAACCATTTTCATAAGTTTCTTCCTGTCTTGGAATTCTGGACTATTACAAGTGTCCCACTAATTTGCTAGTCATGTGTACAATGTTCTACATGTAACAGACACTTAATACTATTGATTTATTTTCCTTTTCTAATATCTGCATCAGATACCTCTGTTGTAAGGTAGGAATAAAGGTTCCTTTTAAAAAACAAAAAATAGGGCCTCTCTGGTGGCACAGGGGATTGAGTCTCAGCACGATGAAGCTATTGGCAGCTACTGTAGCATGAGTTCAATCACTGGCCAGGAGCTAACCCACATGGCACAGCAGACCTCTCCTGTCTCACCTGCTGTTCCCTTCAGCAGTATATTTCAGTCAATCCACCTGTTCTGCTGCCCACTCTGTCTCTGGTGAATACTCTCACCTCCCTGCACCTCTGGGCCTGTACTCCAGTTCTTATATGCATAAATAAATAAATCTTTAAAAAAAAATAGTATTCAAAATCAGTATTAGGTCTATAATGCCCACTCAGAAATAGAGCTGGGGCCTCCCTGATGGCCTAGGGATTAAGTCTCTTCACTATCACCGCCACAACCTGAGTTTGATTCCTAGCCAGCAAGCTAACCCACATATGACATTGCAGACCTCTCCCATCTCGCCTACTGCTCCCCTCAGCAGTGTATTTCAGTAAATCCACCTGTTCTGCTGCCCACTCTGTCTCTGGTGATCCTCTCATCCTCCATACCTCTGGCCTACACCCCCATTATTCTATGCAGAAATAAATTAAAAAATATAAAAAAACAGAGCTGATGATTGTCTCTTATATCTTGGTTGACAGGAGCCCGTGTATATTTAGCTTGCCGGGATGTACAAAAGGGGGAATTGGTGGCCAAAGAGATCCAGATTATGACAGGGAACAAACAAGTGTTGGTGCGGAAACTGGACTTGGCAGATACTAAATCTATTCGAGCCTTTGCTAAAGAATTCTTAGCAGGTAAGTGGGCCTCCCTGGTGGTGCAAAGGGTTAAGACTTAGCGCTATGTGATTAAGACTTAGCACTATGAAACTCTCAGCAGCCACTGCACCATGAGTTCTATCCCCGGCCAGGGAGCTAACCCACATGGTGCAGCAGACCTCTCCTGTCTTGCCCGCTGCTCCCCACAACAGTGTATCTCAGTCCATCTTCCTGTTCTGCTCCCCACAGTGTCTCTGGTGAATCCTCTCACCACCCCCTGCACCTCTGGCCTATACCCCAGCTCTTGTATGCATACATAAACACAATGCATCTTTAAAAAAAAAATTCTGATCAACATGGCAAACTAGCTCAAAGGAAAAGATCCCTCTCCCTTTCTGATACATAGAAATTCATGATAAAATGTAACCAACAATTTTGGATTGATTGCTGAACTCACTAGTAACAAAGGGAAATCCTCTGGAGGCAAAAATAGAGTCAACTGGAAAAGTCATAGCAGTATGTGAGAACTAAACCCAGGGATGTCACAGGAGTATCAGAACTCATTATAGGTGTTAAGGTCTGAAGTCTAAACACCCACACAGGAATAGTGATGAGCATCAGGCACTTGAGGGCTGGGAGCTGTAACTAGGCTTCATGTAACATTGGGATTTAGAGGGAGTTCTCTGCTCCATGGCACAGGGGCTTGAAGAAAAAAACTCAGGCTACCAGCTGAGGGACATGACAAAGAAACTTATCTCGGGGCATGGACAGATAAAGTCAGCTGCAGGAAGTTAGAACTTTAAGCTGGCTTTGATATGGGATCTGATTCCTACCATCATATAGAGCAAGAATTTTGAACTAAGAAATTAACATAAAATGCTATAGTATTGCATCAAAAGCAAATCCAAGAGCAGTATGTAGGCATATATCCTCATAATCCAGGGATCTAGGCCTCCCAAGGAAAATAATTTCTATTAGCAATAACCTACAGTCAGAAATTACAAACCACATGAGAAAAAGTTGACAGGCGCAACAAAGAAGCAAAACCAGTATCTTGGCAGTGGTTGGCTTGCATTCAGAATACCCTTTTTTCTCTTGCTTTGGAATCTTCCCACTCAGTTTGGGAAGACTTTTTGCTGGGAGAGGCGATGGAATGCTTTCCAAAAGTAATGAGTAAGGCGCTCATGAGTTTGAAAGACTGCAAAGGCCATTTGGTAGTAGTATAAGAGGGATTTTTGCCCCATAATAAAAGCATGTAGGAGTCAACAAAAGTCTTACAGTGAAAAGCAATACAGAATGAATATGAGGGAAAATGGAAAAAAGATAGAAGTCCTGCATCCCCATTTTCAAAGCCTGAGTGTAAGGCAGATTTCTAAGGTATAACAACTGTGGGTGGCTACTTTCATACTCTGTCTCCTTGCAGAGGAAAAGCATCTCCACATTCTGATCAACAATGCAGGAGTGATGATGTGTCCCTATTCCAAGACAGCAGATGGTTTTGAAATGCACATAGGAGTCAACCACTTGGGTAAGAAATTGCTCATCATTAAAGTAGCATCCACCTCAACAGATTAATGGATGGATTGAGCCTTCTTTGTGGCATAATTAGACCTCTGTGCCATAAAGGATAATAAGTGAATAATAAATAGCATGGTCTTGCTGGAAAGCAGAGGGATGAACATTAGGCTCAGATTCCATTTACCTGAGGCCTCCCTGGTGGTATAGGAGTTAAGTCTCAGCAAGTCAAGCTACCACCGCTGTGACCTGAGTTCTATCCCCAGCCAGGGAGCTAACCCACATGGCGCAGCAGATCTCTCCTGTCTCGCCCACTGCTTCCCTCAGCAGTGTATTTCAGTAGAGTTGCCTGTTCTGCTCTGTCTCTGGGGAATCCTCTCACCCCCCTAACACCTCTGGTCTACACCTCAGTTCTATGCATAAATAGATAAATAAATCTTTGAAAAAAAAAAAAAACAGATTCCATTTACCTAGGGGCATTTCTGAATGTACTAATTGTGTTGGGGGCTATGTTGCTTTCTTCTTCATAGAATGTCTCATATCTTTCGCTGATTCTAGTGTCCTTATTGAGTTTGGTCTATAGTTGATAATAAAAAGCTGAGGCAGAAAGCCTTCTTCTCGAGTTCTCTGCCTTCCATAGTCATGTCCTATTCACCACGACTCTCCTCACTCCATGCTGAATTCGTTAATTCTAATTTTTCTCCTAGGTCACTTCCTCCTGACCCATCTGCTGCTAGACAAACTGAAAGAATCAGCCCCATCCAGGGTAGTGAATCTGTCTTCCTTAGCACACCACATGGGAAGGATCCACTTCCATAACCTGCATGGTGAGAAGTTCTACAGCTCAGGCCTGGCCTACTGTCACAGCAAGTTGGCCAATATCCTCTTTACCCAGGAATTGGCCCGAAGGCTAAAAGGTAGGCTTATCAGAATGAGTCACCATGGGGAATAGTTAAAACTTAAGAGTAATAGAAACTATTTTCTGAAACCCATCCTCTGGATAGGATCTTATTCCTATCCAGTTTTAGACCTGGCAGTTTTAATAAACAACCTACAACTGAGAATTGGAAGTAACTGACAGGGGACTGGGAAATTCTGACTTTGAGTATTAAGGCTTGACTTTACTTTTCCAAGATATCCTCATATGTAAAATGGTACTGCTTCACAGGTTATTGTCATAATTAATTCAGGCCTCATGAGCAAGTCAGGATTCTTAAGGAGTTCTATTTTTTTTTTTTTATAGAGGCATGTTTTTATTTATTTATTTATTTGTTCGTTTGTTTCGTTTATACATGCACTGGGTACAGTCAGAAGCGCGGGAGGGTGAGAGAATTCACCAGAGCCAGAGCAGGGAGCAGAGCAGGCAGAGGGACAGAGGTACACTGCTGAGGGGAGCAGCGGGCGGCAGGAGAGGTCTGCGCACCATGTGGGACCCTCCTCTGGTGGCCGGGGAGCAGCCGGGAATCGAACCGGCGCTGCAGAGGCTGCGGGCAGCTTCGCAACCCAGCGCTCAACCGCTGCGCCACCGGGGAGGCCCCCTCTTAAGGGGTTCTTAAGGAGTTCAAGTCAGGGTTCTTAAGGGAACCATACTGGTACTGGATACAACCATTAGAGTAAAAGAGGTGCTGGGAATATGGCACAAGATCTCCCTAGAAGCAAGGGGTCAAATAAAAGGGAAATGTATGCTTGGGGAGGGGAGTCTACAGTCACGAATAGATGTCTTTAGCACTTGCTCTGAATTTCCAATAAAGAGAAAGGAAATAGGGAGTGGATGCGAGTTATTTAGGAGTTGAAGCAGGCAGAATTCAGGCTCAAGAAATTAGACATAGGATCCTCCTTGTTTGAACAGGATAATCAAACCATGGGGACAGTTGTGAGACAGGAAGGAAGGAAACTGGCTGTCAGCTTAGCTCATATGCCCAGTCTGTGCCCAGAGCATGGCAACCTTTATCCAGTCACAATGCATGGGGGTAACTGGATGTGAAAACTGCCCAGAGGGTTGGGCAGAGAGGTTGTGTGGCCTGGAGAGGGAGAGATGGGCCCGGCTGTGAGGACTAGATAAAAGCAGAAGACGCTCTGGTGAGGTGGCCTGGTAGAGGTGAGGGTTAGGTGGAAAAGAGCTGTGATGCAATGAAAGCAACTTGGGCATGAGAGAAAAGCCATTCATTCAGCCACTGACCAGGTATGTGTTCAGCGCCCCTGTCATTCTACGCACTGGGTTAGGGGCTTGGGGATGCAGTGGTGCATAAGACAGGGACAGTCCCTTATTCACTTTGATTCACATCGATGGGGGAAAGAGACAATTTTTAAATTAATTAATTAATTTATACGAGAATTGGGGTATAGACCCGAGGTGCGGGAGGGTGAGAGGATTCACCAGAGACAGAGCAGGGAACAGAGCAGGTAGATGACTGAAATACACTGCTGAGGGGAGCAGCGGGCGAGACAGGAGAGGTCTGCTTGCCATGTGGAATCCTCACCGGCTGGCCGGGATCGAACTGGTGCTGCAGAGACTGTGGACAGCTCCACAGTGCTGTGCTCAATTGCCTGTGCCACCAGGGTAGGCCCAGGAAAGAGACAATTTAACAAGTATTTACTCAACTGCGACATGTAACATCAGTCTAGTGATACTTGAATAATTTCCATTTAAAAAGTTCAAATAACAGGCCTCCCCTGGTGGCACAGCGGTTGAGTGCTGGGCTGCGAAGCTGCCCGCAGCCCCTGCAGCGCTGGTTTGATCCCCCGGCCACCGGCGAGGGTCCCACATGGCGTGGCAGACCTCTCCTGCCACTCCCGCTGCTCCCCTCAGCAGTGTACTTTGGTCCTTCTGCCTGTTCTGCTCCCCACTCTGGCTCTGGTGAATTCTCTCACCCTCCCGCGCTTCTGACTGTACCCAGTGCTTGAATAAATAAATAAATAAAATCTTAAAAAAAAAAGTTCAAATAATGTGGAAATACAGAGATTAATTATAATTGTGATAAATGCTATAAAGTGGAACTATAAGGACTTATAATGGGGGCACCTTATCCCTCTCAGGCATCAGGGAACACTTCTCTGAGGAAGAGAATTGCAAACTGAGCCTTTATTGAAGGGTGATTAGAAATTAAATGAGGGGCCTCCCTGGTAGTGCCAGGGTTTAAGTCTCAGCACTGTCAAGCTATCAGCAGCCATTGCAACGTGAGTTCAATCCCCAGCCAGGGAGCTAACCCACATGGCTAAGCAGACCTCTCCTGACTCACCCGCTGCTCCCCTCAGCAGTGTTATTTCAGTAGATTCACCTGTTCTGCTCCCTACTCTGTCTCTGGTGAGTCCTCCCCCCACCACACCTTTGGCCTACACCCCAGTTCTTGTATGCATAAATAAATAAAAATAAATCTTAAAAAAAAAAGGAATGGGTTATAGGTGTGGGTAGCTGAGACAGCTGAGGGGACTGTGGAACAATCTAGGTAGAGGAGGAGTCTGGGCTCAATCTGAGAAACTGAGAAGGCCTTCATGGTTAGAAGGCCTTCATGGTTAGAAGGTTATGCAAGGCAAGAGGAATAGAGATCTGTGCTGAGACTGGTGAGGTAGGTAGAGGCCACAGTAAGGATTTCTTGTTTATTCTAAGAACACTGGAAAACCTTAAGATGAAAGCCTTTTAAAGTGGGAATGGGGGCCTCGCTGGTGGCGCAAGTGGTTGAGATGCAACCTGTAGAGCTGTCCACAGCCACTGAGGCATGAGCTTGTTCCCCGGCCAGCCAGGGGGTGGCCCGCATGGCGCAGCAGACCTCTCTTGGCTCACCCGCTGCTCCCCTCAGCAATGCATTTCAGTCAATCTGCCTTTCTGTTCCCACTCTGTCTCTGGTGAAGCCCTCACCCCCGGCACCTCTGGCCTGTATCCCAGCCCCAGTTCTTGTATGCATAAATAAATAAGTCTTTAAGAAAATAAATAAAGTGGGGATGGATGCAGCAGGTGATTTGATTTCTGTAATCAAGGTGAGAAATGAGACTAGCTTGGACTGGGTTGGTGGAGACGAAGGGTAGTGGACACTCCTCAGGCGTATTCAGAATGTGAAAACCAGGGTGCTGTTGACCACACGTGCACGGTATGGTGAGGAATTCTAAAGAACTGCTCTCATGTGCTGCTGTGGCTGTGAGTGTAGGGAACACTTCAAGAACCAGATTTGGGTTTCACAGCATGAATTCATCTTTGGACCTATGAATCTGCATTACTATAGGTCCTCTAGAGTAGATGTCAAATTGAAAATAATATTGGTCCACACTACTTTATCTGCAATTGTGAAATATACAATCTAGGCCTGAAAATTCAATTTTTTCATAAACTTGACACCAAATTCATTTAGCAGCAACACTTTACAAAAGAGAGTAAATGGTGGACAGTATGTATCACATTATCTTTATAAAATAAAGGAAAAATTGGAAATACTTCTGTCCGGGAATTTTCTAGTGAAGATTGGGGACCTGAAATAACACTGGTGAGGTAGGTGGAGGCCACTTAGCCTGTTCCAGATGATATTCTAAGCTCTTTTATGTATGCAAATTCATTTAACCTTAGAACAAGACTGTGAGTGCAGGTATGATGATTATCCCCATTTTACAGATGAGGAAACTGAGTCGCAATATCAGGAGCTTGCCCATGGTTACAAAGCTAAAGAATGCTAGAGCCAGGATTTGAAATTGGGCAGCCTCACTATGTACATCTGTGTCATCAATCCTCACATTATACTGGCTTTCGTAGTCAGCAAGAATTCTAAGGAACAGCTTGGGCCCCAGATAAAAATGGGGATGCCATAAAGTTATATGGAGGGAGTTTTAGTGAGCCATGAGAATTCCAACTTTTAACGTTTGGGTAGGAGATGATGAACTGGTCCAGGAAACCGAAATAAAGCAGCCAAAAGAGTTAGAAAAACCAGAAGAGGCAGGAGATTCATCAAGTCGATGAAAGGTAGCTTTATTTATTTATTTTTTTTTTAAAAGATTTATTTATTTATTTATACAAGCATTGGGTACAGTCAGAAGCGCGGGAGGGTGAGAGGATTCTCCAGAGCCAGAGCGGGGAGCAGAGCAGGCAGAAGGACCGAAGTACACTGCTGAGGGGAGCAGCAGCGCAGGAGAGTCTGCGCGCCATGTGGGACCCTCCTGCCGGGGAGCAGCTGGGAATCGAACCGGCGCTGCAGAGGCTGCGGGCAGCTTCGCAACCCAGCGCTCAACTGCTGCGCCACCGGGGAGGCCCGAAAGGTAGCTTTAAAAGGGGAATGTTCTCCACCGCAGCTGAGGGTGGAATCCTTGCTCTGCTGCAGAGAGTTAACTACCTCTGAGTTGGCATCAGATATGGAGGTTTATATTACTGTGAGGAACGCTTCTTAAGGTTCCACTGTGGGAAGGGCGTGAGGGAGTCCACTTGGGTCACGTCCTGTCTTCCCATTGCTGTATGGCAGGCTCTGGTGTCACAACGTATTCCGTGCACCCTGGCACCGTTCACACGGAACTGATTCGGCACTCAACTCTCATAAGATGGATGTGGCGGCTTTTCTCCTTCTTCATCAAGACCCCTCAGCAAGGAGCCCAGACCACCCTACACTGTGCCATATCGGAAGGCCTGGAAGGCCTGAGTGGGCGTCATTTCAGGTATGAGTATCTCTGCTGTTGAAGATGAGATATTACTGCCCAAAGGAAATCATTTGGATTTGTCTGGCCTATCATACTCTTCTTAGAAGGTACATTGTCTTTGACTCTAGGATTTTTACCTCTTAATAGGGGGATTTGACTCACCTTTTTTTTTTTTTTTGGTGATAATTCCTAAGTTTGATTGTCTTCATGCCATCTTTTACACTGGGGATTATGCATTTTGGTTGATTATTCGTCTTTTGTTGTGTCAGCCCACTTTTCTCTGCTCCTTTTTGGACTCCTAGCTTTTTATATTAAAAAGAATTTCAATTGCATTTCTCTATTGCCTTCAGAACTGAAATCATATCAGTGGTCTCCCTTCTTGAATTAAGTAAAGACTTCGAAGTTTTTTTTTTTTTTATTGTAGAGAATTTTGAATATACACAGGAGCAGACAAAATAGCATGTTGAATCCCTGTGTACTCATAGTCCCATTTCAACAACTGTTAACTCATGGCAAATCCTGCCTCATCCCTGTCCACTACCCCTTTCCATATTCCTGTCTATGGACTTCTAGTGAGTCCTGGACCTGGGACGCGACGGTGAGGGAAATTAGACATGGGGGACTGTCGTGTCCAGCATGCAGTAAATCTTTATTGTCTTGGTGCTCATTATATACTACTTTACGTGCAGCAGGTGTAACATCAAAGCATACCATATAATGACAACACATATGAATGATTAGTGTACTTTCTTACTATTATCTATCTACTTCAGACAGTAGGGTAGCAGGTGGTTAGCTCTCACGCACATAATCTTATCGCCCCCTAGTTAGAGCTTGGGAAGTTCGCTCATTATTTTTGTTATTCTAAGACTGTGGAGACGTAGAGGTATGCAGGTCACATTCTGGGCACTCAACACCAGGTCCTGTCACTCAGAGGTTTTCCTCTGAGACACATGTGTTTTCACATGCCTTAGGGACTCAGGTCAAGGCCCTTCTGCTCACTGCGCGGGGTCTCTCCCAATACCTGTCCTCCCATATTATTTTGAAGCAAGCCACAGACAACACACGTGATAAAATTCTTAACATGTTTTTACCACCACCTTCAAGATTTTGTGGAGATAACTTGAAGCTTTAGTGAAGGACTGTAAATAAATTAAGATGGAAAAAGAAGATGAGACAGTCAGATCAAGAAAGGCCTATAATCCCAGACACAGAGAGGAGTAGAGAAGGTGTTTCAGTGAAGAGAGACAAAATCTGGTCTGTTGACCTTGTTTAACAAATGAATAAGTAACTCAAGTGAAAAATAATGAGTTCCTAATTTAGTGTAATGACAATTGCAACCAAAAGAATGGTGAAGTGAGAGAGGCCCTGAAGAGGCAGAACTTTTGCTACTTGGACTAATGGAGTGGGGTGAAGGGAAAGGATTTGGTTACCTGCTTCAAGCCAGAGTAACTAAGAGATTGATGGTAACACTGGCTGTGACAGCAGACATGAAAAATGTGAGCAAGTTAGGGTCCTTTGATTCCAAAGTTTCCAAAGCAGTGGAAATAGACTCTGGATAACTTAAGCAAGAAGGGAATTTATTAAAATATAAAGATGTTCCTAGGTCCAAAGGGAAGATTGAAGAACCAAGCAGAGTGGCCAGTGAGCTGGCCAGGGCACTGCTGATGGAGTGAGTGAACACCAGCTAGATTTAGTCTTTGTTTTGTTGCTCGCTCTCCACTCTAATGAAGAAGCACTGAATTCTTATTACCCCCTCAACAGAGATACACAATAGGCAATGAACACACAAAAAGGATGCTTAACATTATTTGTAGGAAAATGCAGGTGAAAATCACATTGAGATACTACTTCATGCTCACTATGTTGGCTAAAATCAAAAGGACAGACAATAGAGAAAAGATGTTAGAGCTCAATTCATTCTATGTCCTTACTCTTTTGACTAGGGGAGGACAAGCTCTTAATTAATGGGCTCTTCAAATATATACAAGTGGAGGTAATTTTGCATAAAAATATCAGGTTGCTATTGCCCAAAGAATGTGACATGAATGTTCAGTCGAAGAGTACAGTTGTCCACTACATAATAAACTAGCTCTGTAAATGTTGAGGGTGTTATCTACAAGACATGTAAATAGAATTATAAAGAGATGATTGGGATTGTGGGTCTGAAGTCTAAGACTATAGTGCAGTGTATAGTTTTGTATGCTGAAATGATTATCCAATAGTGAATAGATTTTTCTTCCCTAGAGATTTTAAGAAAAGAAATAACCCTTTATCTTAGCTTTGACTGACTAATTTAAAGAAAGTCAGATTATGGGTATGAAGTCTAAGAATATAGTGCAGTGTATACTTCTGTACACTGAAATGATTCTCTGAGAGTAACTAGATTCTTCTTCCCTAGAGATTTTTTTTTTTTTTTTTATAGAGGCATGTTTTTATTTATTTATTATTTATTTGTTTGTTTGTTTTCGTTTATACATGCACTGGGTACAGTCAGAAGCACGGGAGGGTGAGAGAATTCACCAGAGCCAGAGCGGGGAGCAGAGCAGCAGAAGGACCGAAGTACACTGCTGAGGGGAGCAGCAGGAGAGGTCTGCTCGCCATGTGGGACCCTCTCCGGTGAGCAGCCGGGGATCGAAAGAGGCCGCGGAGCTTCGCAACCCAGCGCTCAACCGCTGCGCCACCGGGAAGGCCCCTCTTCCCTAGAGATTTTAAGAAAAAAAAAAATAACCTTTATTTTGGTTTTGACTTAGTGATTTAAAGAAAGTCAGTGTCAGAGCCTTTCCAGTGCTCTGGATTCTTAATTTTTTTTAAAAGATTTATTTATTTATGCATACAAGAGCTGGGGTACAGGCCAGAGATGCAGGGGGTGAGAGGACTCACCAGAGGCAGAGTGGGGAACAGAACAGGCAGACTGACTGAAATACACTGCTGAGGGGAGCAGCGGGCAAGACAGGAGAGGTCTGCTGCGCCATGTGTGTTCCTCCCTGGCTGGCCAGGGATCGAACTCGTGCAGCAGTGGCTGCGGATAGCTTCATAGGTTGTGTCTTAACCCCTTGCGCCACCAAGGAGGCCCCTGATGTACAAATTTTTGTGTGGATATTTCTTTTGGGTGTATACCTAGAAGTGGAATTTTACTCGAATGAGTCATATGTGAACTCTTTTTAACTTTTCAAGAACTACCAGGTTGTTTTCCAAAGTGGCTGCACCATTTTGCATCACCATTAGGAACATGTTGAGAGTTCCATTATTTCCGCATCTTTGCTCTAACATCTTTGCTCTATTGTCTGGCCTTTTGATTTTAGCCAACATAGTGAGCATGAAGTAGTATCTCAATGTGATTTTCACCTGCATTTTCCTACAAATGATGTTAAGCCTCGTTTTTGTGTGTTCATTGCCTATTGTATATCTCTGTTGAGAAACATCTATTCAAATGCTTTGCCCATTTTAAATTGGATTATTGTTTTTTTTATTGTATAGTTGTATCAGTTCGTTGTATAACTTAGATACAAGTCCCTTATCAGATATATGATTTGTATATATTTTCTCGAATTCTGTGGTTTATGTTTTCCCTTTCTTCATAGTGCCCTTTGGAGTACAAACATTTTTAATTTTTATGAGGTGTAATTTAACCTACCTTTTCTTGATCACTTTTGCTTTTGGTGTGATAGCTAAGAAAACCATTGCTTAATTGAATGTCATGAAGATTTACTACTATGTTTTCTTCTAATAGGTTTAGCATTACATTTAGGTCTGTGATCCATTTTGAGTTAGTTTTCGTATGTTGTATGAGATAGAGGTTCAATTTCATTCTTTTGCATGTGGATACAATTGATCCAGCACCATTAGTTGAAGAGATTATTTTTTTTTTCCATCGATTTGTCTTTGTAGCTGTATTAGTCTGCCTTGGGCTGCTCTAGGCTGGTGGCTTGAGCAATAGAAATTTATTTTCTCACAGTTCTGGGGACTGGAAGTTTGGATGAAGGTGCCAGTAGGATTGATTTCTAGTTAGGCCTTTCCTCCAGGCTTGGACAGGGCTTCCTTCTTACTGCAGCCTAACTTGGCTTTTCCTCTGTAGTTGTACCTTCCTCGTGTCCCCTTGTCTTATAAGGGCATTAGTTCTATTGGATTAGGAACCTACCTTATGACTTTTAAACTTAAAGGCCATATCTCCAAATACACTTTGGAATTAGGGATTCCACATGTGGATTTGGAGGGACATGATACAGTCCATAAGAGTCCATAACAGAAGATTTATTTAAAAATCAACTCAGGCCTCCCCGGTGGTGCAGTGGGTTGAACACCACACTATGAGGCTTTCTGCAGCCTCTGCAGCATGGGTTCGGTTCCCAGCTGGCCAGGGGGAAACCCACATGGTGCAGCAGACCTCTCCTGTCTCGCCCGCTGCTCCCCTCAGCAGTGTGTTTCAGTTAGTCTACCTGTTCTGTTCCCTGCTCTGTCTCTGGTAGATCCTTTCACCCTCCCACACCTCTGGCCTGTACCCCAGTTCTTGTATAAATAAATAAATCTTTAAAAAAAAAACAACCCATAAAGTACCAAAAGTTGGGCTTGACACTCTTAAAAATTCACCAAATTATTGTATAAATGGCCTGAGAAGATATGAGTCATTGTAGCTTATTGTATATGCTACATTTTAGAGAATCTATTTCAGTGGATTTTAAGATATATTAAAGCAATTTGGTGTTAGGGGTATGTCAGATATATGTCTTTAATGTATTTCCATGGACTGTTAAGACCTTTGTGGATCATTCAAGAAATAACTCAAAATACACATTAGTGAAAGAAAAACATAAAAAAAAAAAACCAACCAACTCATAGGTGTAAGATTTTACTTAGGCACTTTTAATTCTGTTCCATTCATCTTATACCAATGCCACACTGTCTTGATTTCTTTGGCTTTGTAGTAAGTTTTGAAATTGATCTTCTACCAACTTTCAAAAATCCCATTGAAAATAACAGCACTGTGCTGATATATCATAACTACATTTAAGTAGCTTTTACTGTCGTATTGGAATAAATTTATATTGAAGAACCTTATAATTTACAAGACAATTTCACGTCCACTGTATCATTTTCTCTTCACCGTAACCTTACGGCATAGTGTAGTAGAGGCTATAGAGGCTAACAGAGGACATGTGATTTCCAGAAAGTTATACAGAATCTTTTGGCTTTCAGTGATGGTCTTTTCACTTAGAAATGGCAAGTTGTGCCAATGAGTTGCCTTAAAAGTACTGTACTTGTAAAACTTATTATTTAAGTGCAAGTTCACATAGTTTAAGAAACATCTATGAAAAAAGAAAAAAAAAGAAAAAATTTAAAAAAAGAAAGAAACATCTAAAGACATGATTGATAAGAATTGGTATTCCTGAGAATTGGTATTTCTAATAAATTCCCAGTTGCTACTGTGTACTGCATGCAGAAAATACAAGAATAAATAAAAGGATTATCCTTGAAAAAAAAATTCTGTTTTGTGTAGAGTTGAGGTCTCCCTTCCCCTACCCATTTAATGGGAACCTAAAATAATTAGGATTAGAGCAATGAAGACAATACATGAAACACCTTATACCTTGTTGCTACCATTTCTTTTCTGCTATCTTTTCCTACTTTTGTTGTTTATGAACCTGGCTTTACTTGTTATTCAAATTTAAAAGCACATATAACTGCAGGTAGTCCAAAAATAATGAGAATTATTTTAATACTTCAAGCATCTGTGACCAATGTATATAGTAGGCTCTCAGCTACATGACATTGTAGAATGGGCTTCAGATGTTTATTAGAACACTAGGACATACACAGGTGTTGGGCAGGTGCTGATATTACAGATAGACATATACATACAAAAGGGACTATAAAGAATAAATAGTATGCATTATATATTAGACTAAACATTCTGATAAGAAGTAGTTCAGTAAGATGTAAATGGTAATTACATGTCTCTGGGGTAAAGATTGAAGAATGAAGAATTAGGACAAACACTGGCCCAATGGATTGCTGAGGAGACATGTCATCCCTGGGTTGTTTTTCTGTCAAATTCCTTATACCAGGCAGAGAACAGACTCCATTTTGAACCATGTACTTTAAGCCACTTTCCTTCTCTTCCAGTGACTGCTCTTTGGCCAGGATCTCTGCCCAGGGTCAAAATGAGACGATCGCAAGGCGGCTATGGGACGTTAGCTGTGACCTGGTGGGCATCCCTATGCATTGACAGGTGGTGTTAGTTGGACCCAAGAGAAGCCTGCAGCAGACTACACCTTGCTAAAGTGATCTTCCTTCAGGATGGTTAAAACTTGGAGCACAAAGAGAGTAGCCTTTCCACCCTTGCCTGTGATATCTGATAAAAGCCCAGTTCACTGCCAGATTCATTTGAATGCCTTGCATTTGTCCAGATTTAGTTTGCTCCTTTTACTGTCAGTTCATAGAGATACCTTGAGAAGACTCTAATATGACCTGCAATCTCCTATTTTCCCTTTGAAACCTACTATCTAGAAGAATCTAAGCTAAAGCAGGGTTGATTTATGACAATTTGGACTAGTTACTACTTTCTTTATTCACAGTGTATTTTCTCCCAACCAGCCAACTTTCAAGAGGGCCACACTGAGACTCCAGGTTTGGTTTCAGATCAGGGTTCATCCATTATTCCTAAGAATGCCATCATCTGAATTCTTTCAGGTAACTCTTACCTGAAGCTGGATTGTGACTTGGCTTTACCGCTGACAAACTAAAGTCACTGCTAGTAAGATACTCGTCATGTCTAGATCATGGAAGAGCTTCCTTTTCTAAGAAGCTTGTGTGGTTTGAGGAAAAGGAGAAATAAGCAATGGTTTAAATGGTCATTTTCATGCTGTTTCTGAGACCAACGATATAATAGTGAAAAGAGCAGTTTGAGAAGACAGACACCTAACCCCAGACCCATGAAGGCCTCCTTTCTGTGCCCTAGTTTCCTTTAGAAAATCACAAGACAGGGCCTCCCTGGTGGCGCAGGTGGTTGAGCACAGCGCTGTGAAGCTGTTTGCAGCCTCTGCAGCACAGGTTCGAACCCAGCCGGCCGGCAAGAATCCCCCATGGCAAAGCAGACCTCTACTGTCTCGCCTGCTGCTCCCCTCAGCAGTGTATTTCCTCAGGCTGCCTGTTATGTTCCCCATTCTGTCTCTGGTGAGTCCTCTCACCCTCCTGCGCATCTGGCCTGTACCCTGGTTCTTGTATAAAAATAAATAAATCTTTAAAAAAAAAAAAAGAAAATCACAAGACAGGAAAGGCTACTTGGTGACTGTTTTCGTGTATTTATGCAGTTGGAAATATGTTCATAGAATTCAAAATGATCATAAACAGTTTTAAACTGGTAAGTGATCAGAGGTGGAATCATGCAGTCTTTGATGCAAGTCTTTGACTGCGAAAAGAAGCAACTCTGCATATGTTTGTGACTACCCATCAAGAAAGGTATGGATAGCGTGAAGAAATCCAAAAAAAAAAATCCTGGGAGATAATGCATGCAATGAAGGAATTAAAGACTTAACAAAAAGAAAGAAAAAGGTAATATCCAGCTCTAGAAGAAATGAGGGTGAGCACCTGAGTTAACAAGACTGCTAAGACACTAATCTTAACCAGTATCCATCAATCAATGTGGTGGGGTGGGTGGGTGGAAAGACACAAAACAAATGAAAACAAAGCAACCCCAATTCTTTGTTCTCAAAAATTATCATAAGGATGGATATTGATAATTATAGTCAATTTAGTAATCTTTCAAGGCATTCCTTATATTAGGAATATGGGACCTCCCCTGGTGGCTCAATGGTTGAGCGCTGGGCTGCGAAGCTGCCTGCAGTCTTTGCAGTGCGGGTTCGATCCCCGGCTGCTGGCGAGGGTCCCACATGGCGCGCAGACCTCTCCTGCTGCTCCCCTCAGCAATATATTTCGCCAGTCAGCCTGTTCTGTTCCCCACACTGGCTCTGGTGAATTCTCTCACCCTCCCACGCTTCTGACCGTACCCAGTGCTTGTATAAATAAATAAATAAATCTTTTTTTTAAAAAAAAGAATATGTCTATTTGCTAAATGCCAACGTTTTATTTGGAGAGCTTTTATCAGAAATAATACTGTCATAGGAAGTCTAAGGAATTGGTCATTCACTACTTGTTTGGAGTATGCTATTTTAATTAGAGTTTATAATTGTTGGACCATTATATGTTCACTTTGGTAGGGATGAGTTTATAGGACCACAATCTTCTCACAAATGTAAATAATCTTTTGTTGAACTTGTTTTGACCATTAAACATATATTTAGAAAATGTCGTTTTATGGAAAACCTTTGATAATAATGTAGTAAAATAATATTTTACTTAATATATATTAAACTGTCAATGACAAAAATTCCTTTTGTTTTTATTTGCCAGAATAAAAAACTGTAAGAATTAAGCTAAAATCAACAGAAGAAAAGAATAAAGTGAAAATTTATAGTGAAATAAAGAACACTTTTCATTATTATTGTTGTGCATTTCTCACTGTAAGGATAAACTGCCCCAGAGTCTAGCCACAGCAGTCTCATTTCAAATGCCATTAACTTCATTTGTGTGATAATTTTATTATTTGGTCCCCATTTTTACTTTCATGACACTGTTCAAAGATTACTTTTCCTATTTTTCCTAATCACCCCAAACTATTCATCATGTCTTCTTTTTGTTCCTGCCCCTTCTTTAACAATACTATGAGACTGCTACTAACAATCTCAGACTTTGCTATTTCTAAGTTCAAATAAAATTAAGAGTTCAGGGGCCTCCCTGGTGGCGCAAGGGTTAAGATGCAACCTATGAGGCTATTTGCGCCCACTGCAGTTCCATCTCCCACCAGGTTGCTGCCCACATGGCGCAGCAGACCTCTCCTGTCTTGCCTGCTGCTCCCCTCAGCAGTGTTTTCAGTTCGTCTGCCTGTTCTATTCCCCACTCTGTCTGTGGTGAATCTTCTCACCCTCCCACTCCTCTGGCCAGTACCCCAGTTCTTGTATGCATAAATAAATACATCTCTTTAAAAAAAATTAAGAACTCAACAAAAGTTTGTCCAATCATGGTCATTGAACTTAGGCTAATAAAAATATGGTCTAGGAGATACAAATCACCACATTAATACCTCCCAGCCCCTTCAATGTTCATATACTTTGTGTGGACAGTGTAGTATTGGGCTGCCAAGCAAACATTCCAAAACAGGCTCCATTGGCAAACCATGAAAATAGGTACATTCCACTCTAAACCATCAAAACCCATGGAGTGCAGGAAAGAACTTGGTATAGGTAACACATTACACTTAGTGGGAAAGAAACCTAATGAAGCCGGAGTCTTCTCACATAAATTAACCAAAGCAGAGGGAATGAATGTTTGATTCATTATATGTCCAGATCCCTGCACATTGTCTATAACTTAACATTAACAAAAAACAATGGAGTTGATACAGGACAAACCAGGGGGACTGGTTTGGTGGGTCCTCCCCTGCGCTTTAGAATGCAAGCTACACTCCCAAAGCAGACACATGATGAGACACACCAGTAACAGGTTATATTAACATGGGGTATGAGAAAAGGAATGGGAGAGGGGGAGGTGGAAGGCAGAGAGAGATTGAGACTGATTAAAGGCTGGTAATTGGCCAGATGCTGTTTATCCTTCCCCAGATAGTATCAGCTGAGCAGTGACCAAGTTCCAAGCTGAAGCCACAGGTGGCAAGCTGATGGCTTCTCCTCCATAGACACCTCTCCTCGAGCAATTTCACTGCTGAAGCCCCAGCTGTTCAACCGCCCAAAGACCCAACTCCACCCCTATTTCGCATCCCTCTCTCAGGGGCAGTCTGAAAAGCTCCTTCTACCATCCAGTTGGGTAGGAGCGCCATCCACAGGCTCAGGGGTTGCTCCTCACGATTCCTCTTACAAAGTGAACTGACACACTAGGTGAGCTTGATCACTAGAGGCCGAGTGTGACGCCGGGGACGCTGCCCGAGCCACTTCTGACTCCAAGTACCCTGGTCCCCTGAAGGGTTGAAGCGTTTTACTCTGGGGCCCGCAGGAATCTGATGGGTCTGTTTTTCCATGGCTGTAAATTATAACATTTAGCCCAACTGAGGAAGTCAGGGCGAAGACACTGAACATGGTGCCAAGCACAAACTGAAACCAAATCAAGAAGCGACAGCGTCACTCCTCCGCGCCACAACACAAACGAAACCACGCCCCCTACGACGCTGGGTAGCTCAGACTGTGCGTCTCCCGCCGAACTTCAGTCCCCAGCATGCACCGCGGCGCCCGCCCCTCGCCGGAAGGCGGGGCCTTCGGCAGAGGCTGCTGCGCTGCCAGTCGCGCGGGTCCCGAATGTCCCTTCCGCTGTGATGCTTTCCTCAACCCTGGACTGGATATTTCTGGGGCTTCTGAATGTCGCTCTCTCGGGAGCGGCACCACGCCCCGGAAGTCTCCCGAGAAGAGCGGCTCCCCCGACTTTTCGTCAGGCTTTCGCGCCCGGCGTTCCCCGAGTGACGGCATGAAGGGTGGGCGTTCCGGCTCAGGAGGACCCTCGCAGTCCCGGAAGCGGCTCGTCCGGGGCGCTGTTGGCGGCGCTCGCCGTGATGCCTGCGGGGCTGGGCGGCTGACCGCCGTGCTAGGAGCGGGCCTGGTGCCCAGAGTCTCGGCAGCCGCTGCTCGAGCGCGGCCGGCGCCATGGCCACCTCCGCCGCCTCCTCGGAGCATTTCGAGAAACTGCATGAGATCTTCCGCGGCCTCCATGAAGACCTACGAGGGGTTCCGGAGCGGCTCCTAAGATGGCTGGAACGGGTGAGGCTGGGCCGGGCCAAGCTTTGCGGAACCGGGTCCTGCGCGCTCTGGGAAGAAGAGCCGTCGCCCTCCTTCCCAGTCAGCGTCCTGTTGTCTCCGTTCATCCTCAGGCACGTCCCCTAGGGCTGCCCGGTCCCGCACCCGTGGTGTCCCTGCTGTCACTTAGGGTGCTCAGGCGGTAAAACGCGGAGTGTCTTCTTAGGATTCTCCCTCTTGGTCCCCCTATAGCCTTCAGGTTTTTCTCATCTCAGTTTCGCTGTGGCAAGAATAGTATAAGAATCTTTATTTTTTTTTTTTTATTTTTTTTTTTTAAATACATAGTTCTAAATAGTTTCTTTATTTTTTTTTTTTAATAGAGGCATGTTTATTATTTATTATATTTGTTTGTTTTGTTTGTACATGCACTGGGTACAGTCAGAAGCGCGGGAGGGTGAGAGAATTCACCAGAGCCAGAGGGGGGAGCAGAGCAGGCAGAAGGACTGAAGTACACTGCTGAGGGGAGCAGCGGGTGCAGGAGAGGTCTGCGCACCATGTGGGACCCTCCTCTGGTGGCCGGGGAGCAGCCGGGGATCGAACCGGCGCCGCAGAGGCCGCGGGCAGCTTCGCAACCCAGCGCTCAACCGCTGCACCACCGGGGAGGCCCTAAGAATCTTTAAACCTGCGGTTCTGTATTTCAATGAAATTAGTTTCTTTGGTACTTCTATTTTGTTATGCCTTTAAAAGCAGTATTCTCAGGAGAGGTTCATGGTTTTCTGCTGGCTGGCAAAGGACCAGTAGCATAAAAAGGGTTAATAACCCAAAGTGGTCATAACTTTTAGGGTTGGTGAATGGGGGGAAGGGATTGATTAGTCCTGAAAATCGTAATTGCGGCGTTTAGGCATTTCTTTTGTTAACTTTTTGAGTGCTTAGGCTGTTTTCTGCCCCCTTGATTTAATAATTCAGTTGCCTCAAGCTTTGCCAGAAGGAGGTAAGAGTTTTCCAGTTCAATTCTGTGGTAGGCCTGCCAGAGTACTTTGACTCAGAATAAATAGTGCTTGATGGCAAGGAGGATAAGACTGTAGTTTTTAAGGGTTAAAGCTTGGGTGTTTATTCTGGAAGTGACCCTAAGTTATATAAATTGAATGACTGGTGAGAATGAAATTCATGTTTGTTTAACATGTATTTATTGAAATAGGTTGCTCTATGCCAGACACCATCTTCAATGCTGGCAATATTGGAAATTACAGTGAGAAAAAAACATACAAATTCTCATTCTAGTGGGTGGGTAGTAATGTATAAGTATTAAGGGACTTTGTTAAAAGGCAATCAGGAGGCCACCCTTGTGGCGCAAGGGTTAAGACGCAGCCTATGAAGCAATCTGCAGCCACTGAAGCACGAGTTAGATCCAGGCCAGGGAGCTTTCACATGGCACAGCAGACCTCTCCTGACTTGCCCTCTGCTCCCCTCAGCAGTGTACTTCCGTCAATCTGCGAGTTCTGCTCCCCATTCTGTCTCTGGTGAATCCTCTCACCCCCCCACCTTTGACCTGTTCCCCAGTTCTTGTATGCCTAAATAAATAAATCTTTAAAAAAATAAAAAGCAATACAGGAAACACTTGGGTGGGGGCTCCAGTGTTAAATAGGGTGGCTGTGAATGTCCTCATTGAGGAGGTGGCATTTTTAGCAGAAACTTGAATAAACTAGGAGAAAAAAACCTTGAAAAATCTGGGAGACCTGAGTGTCAGGAGGATGGAATAACAGTACAAAGATTTTTAAGCCGAGATGAACTTGGTTTGTACAAGAAAGACCAAGAAGGCCAATGTGTTTGGGATGAGCTGAGCTAAGGAGATAATGGCAGCAGATGAGGCTGGCAAGAGATAGGGAGGACCAGATGATGGGAGGCCTTGTAGGCCAGGTGAGAGATAAACATCTTTTTCTAAAGGCAGTGGAATGCAATTAAAGGATATTGAGCAAGAGTGCTGGATCAGATGTACCTGGTTGAAAAGTAGACCCCTTTTTCAATTTGGTGCTGAATGAAATTTGCAATATTTGTTTTGTAAAGCAAAATAGTGCAAAGGGGCATTCCTTTTACAGACTGGAAAACAAGTTATTTATGTTAACCATTGTCATCTACTTTTCATTTTGCAAAGAGAACAATCAAAGAGTTCATTTTTGATCAAACACAAAATGCATAAATTGCAGTTAAATTTAGTTGTTTAATTGGTCAATAAATTCATTGTACACATTCCCCTGGGCTACAGTAAGAATTTTAACAACTTTATCTCCTTATTTGTTCATACTGCTCAATAAATATTTGCTGAATAAATTGAATTTGATGAAACAAACATACTGGGCTTCATCTCTGAATTCTTTTTTTCTAGTTCTTGAGATGACTCTATAAGCTTTCCAGAGCTTTAATTTCCATCATGACTATGTAGGCACTGAATAATGTATATAACAACCCTTGTAGCTTCTGCAGTGTAATTAAATCAGTCATATTTAAAAACATTTACTGAGAATTATTTAGCAGTCACTGTCCTGGGCCCAGAGGAATTCCAAGAGTTCTTGCC